TACTCATAAGATTCAGAGAAAATAAGATAGCACTGATTGGTGACATAAAGAAAATGTACCACACAGTAAAGACAAAGACAATTGACCAACACACTCATAGATTTTTATAGAGAGACATGAACATTAAACGACCACCAGATACGTACATTATACAATGAGTTTCGTTCGGCGATAAGCCATCAGGTACGATCGCCACTGTTGCATTACGAAAAACAGCTGAAATGGGACAACACAAATATCCTAAAGCTGCGAAAGTAATCGAGGAAAACACTTATATGGACGATGTAATAGAGAGTGTGGCTGACAAAGAACAAGCGAAGAACCTCACCCAAGATATTGAAAGTTTACTTAACGAAGGAAGTTTTAAAATGAAAGAGTGGATCTTCACCCATGATAGTAAAGAACCCTCTAAGACCTTGACAATACCTACTGATGTGTCATCACAAGTGTTAGGAGTTTTTTGGAACCCCATTAAAGACGACTTCGAGTATAAAGTTCAGTTAAGAACCACTGCTAAGGGAAAGAAGAAGTCTCATATCCTTTCAAATGCAAATAAGCTGGGAGAAATCGATGCAGATAATCCTACCAAAAGAATAATTTTATCCCAAGTAAACAGCATTTATGATTCTCTCGGATTAGCTGGACCTTTCACAGTCGGAGCAAAGATTCTACTGAGACAGTTATGGGGAATGGAAGAGAAGCTCAACTGGGACGACCCTATTCCGGACAAGTACACTTGAGACTGGAAACAATTCTGCCAAGATCTACTGGAGATGAACGACGTTAAATTCAAAAGATGTTTAATCCCAGAGGATGCAATAGATGATCCTATATTAATTATCTTTAGCGACGGATCTAGTCATGCATATGGGGTATGTGCATACTACAGATGGAAACTCAACAACGGACAATTCAAATGCAGACTTATACTATCAAAAAACCGACTCGCGCCGATAAAAAGATTATCAATTGACAGAATCGAACTCTGTGTGGCTGTATTAAACTCAAGACTGAAAGCATTTCTAGAGCGACATTGCAGATATAAACTTCAGAAGTGTTATCACATCGTGGACTCTCAAATAGTACACAACATGATTCAAAAGGAATCATATGGATTTAATACCTTTGCAGCAACCCGAGTAGGGGAGATACAACAGAACACCAACACTGATGATTGGTATTGGACAGAAAGCAAAAACACCATCGCAGACTGGCTTACTCGCGGCAAAAAACCAAATGACCTAAACTCAGAAAGTATTTGGCAAAGGGGACCCGATTTTCTGAATTACCCGAAAGTGAATGGCCAATTAACAAAGCTTTGACCAAAGAACAACTTCCTGATCGACCAAGTCAAAGTAGCATACAATATAACGCAGACCTGCCAAATTAATAATACAGACACACTTGCCTCGAGACTTAACATGGAAAGATACTCAAATTTTGACAAACTATTAAGGGTGACAGCCCGTGTATTATTACTGTACCAAAGAACACCAAAACTTTCATTCAAAAACGCAGGAAAACCACTCATACCTCCTGAGGTAACAAAGGCGGAACATTTCTGGATTATGGAAGCACAAAGAAATATGCACGCAGACATTGAAAAAGGGAAATACAAACTTCTGTGCCCTAGAAAAAATGAGCAAGGAATATACGTGGTTGGAGGACGAGGTGAAAGATGGATTGAGATGAGTCACAATAAAAATGAAGTAATACTGTTGCCCTATGACCATAGATTTTCCCGTCTCTATGCTGAACATATTCACAGACAAGGACATCTCGGTGTACTCTCTACGTCCAGTAAAATACGCACGAAGTTCTGGATAATTAAACTATTGAAAATGGTGAAATCCATCCAATACAACTGCGTGATATGCAAGAAATTAGACAAGAGATTAAGCGAACAGATTATGGGAAAGTTACCGGTGGAAAGACTGAAGCCATCACCTGCATGGAGCTGCACAGCTATTGATCTCTTTGGTCCGTTCAAAATTAAAGACGAGGTGAAGAAAAAAACTATTGCGAAGACATATGGTGTGATATTTAACTGCTTGGCTACCCGTGCCGTTCACGTAGATCTAGCTGCGGATTACAGCACTGAAAAACTTATCATGGTCCTCAGAAGATTCGTATCAATTAGAGGTTTTCCCTCCAAACTTTATTCAGACAATGGCCCTCAACTGGTCGCCGCAAACGAAGAACTAAAACATGTAGTTAAGGGTTGGAACCAAGAGGAACTCAAAACGTTTGGCGTGATGGAAGGATTCACGTGGGATTTTGCACCAGCCGATGCACCATGGCAAAACGGAGTTTCTGAAGCATTGGTTAAGTCCATAAGACGAGCAATAACAGCAGCAATCAGTGATCATGTTTTGACATTTTCCGAACTACAAACTGTTTGCTTTGAAGCAGCAAATCTTGTGAATGAAAGACCAATCGGAAGACACCCTACCTCACCTTATGATGGAACGTACCTCTGTCCCAATGATTTATTGCTAGGAAGAGCGACATCAAGAGTACCAAGCGGACCCTTTCGAGAGACTTCAGATTTCCGCCGTAGATTTGAATTCGTTCAAAGTATCGTGCGCTATTTCTGGAAGAAGTGGACCGGAGATTACTTTCCAAGTTTACTTATTCAGCCAAAGTGGCACACTGCACAGCGAAATATTCGTGAAGGCGATGTAGTGCTTATCCACGACGCAAACCAGATAAGAGGACAATGGAAGCTTGGGACTGTGCTTAAAGCCTTTCCTGGAGGAGATGGTAGAGTAAGGAAAGTTCAAGTGCAGTACAAAAATCCAAAACCAGGAGAAGCTGTCAACGAGTA